GTCAAATCCGTTCCCCCGAATCAGTTACTTCTCAAATTGATCAGGTCGCTGGAGTTTTAGGCCATTATAGCTGCAAGCTCTGCAACCTGAAGTTTGGCTCAAAGCGATCTCTCGGAGCTCACGTTAAAGCCCATGCATCCAATTATGGTAAGTTTTTGCAGGTTCTTGAGCTACTTCTTTCAAGAATATTTTCCTTGTACGGGTACTTTTTTAATCAAGATTTTATTATATGGGTTCTTCTAATGTTTTCCTTAATCAAGATTCTTTTCCTTAACTGCGTACTTTTTTAATCAAGATTTTTTCTAATAATTTCCTTGACTGCGTCTTTCTGAATCATTTTTTTTGATATCGGTTCTTTTGTAATCAAAGTATTGTGGTATGGGTTTTTCGCAAATCGAAGTTTGATGGTTTTGTATTTTTGCAGGTTTCACTGACAGTGACAAGATAGGTTTGAAAGATGAGCACGAGAGGACAAAGGATGGTTGCAGAGGAGAAAGAAAGAGCACAACAATAGAGAAAACAAAAAAGCATACCCAACAAGAACCAGTGTGCGCTCTGTGCACCAAGAAATTTCCCTCGATGAAGGCTCTGTTTGGCCACATGAGGTGCCACCCAAAGAGAGATTGGAGAGGGATTCAGCCACCGGAAAAGCCTGTAATCGCCAGAAAGAATGAGAGGAACCTGCAGGTCAAAAATTCCAGCAATGGCGCACAGATGAATTCTGTGGAAAGTTTGCCATACCATACCAATAGCACCATAACAGAAGAGAGCTCGAAAGAACATTATCCTCTCCCTCCCCTCTCAAATTGGTTGGTCACTGGATCTGGAACAAGAACGAACAAAACTGCCAGGTCCGAAAGTAAAGATTTGCAGAGACAGAGATTTGAGGGAGTTTCAAAAAGCATCAAACAAACTGTGCATCACTTACTCATTCTTTCTCAATCTCAAGGAAATTTGGAGGAATTGGGTTTCTTGGAAAAACAAGAAACTGACAAGGAAAGCCTGGAATCGGATCCCAAAAAGAGTGAAATCCTCCATGAAAGCTTCTTAGTTTACCGTCGTGGCCAATGGAAGAAGAAGAAGGAGGTGAAGAGGGAGGCGAGAGCTATTGAGGCAGCTGCTAATTCTGGCACACCCCAAGAAGGTGAAATCATTTCAAACTGCCATGATTCAAAGAAGAGGAAGCTTTTCATTGGAGTCTCTGCGGCTAATAACTCTGAGGAGGAGGAAGTATCACAAGAGGATGTTCAAGTTTCTGGAATTGGGTCTGAGATTTCAGTGGCCTTCTTGAAAGTATCTGTCAATAAAAGACCAAATATCAGCAGAATTCCTGACAATTTCTCGCCAGAAAGGCAAGGGAGCCATATATGCACCAAGTGTAACCAATGGTTCAATTCAGGTCAGGCTTTAGGTGGCCATATGAGGAAACATATTGGCAGAAAGAAGCATCTAGCCAAGTTGAAAGCTCATCATTCTTCAAAGAGGTTGACAATGGGTTCTCAAGTTGAATTGGGAGGAGAGAGAAAGAATGGGGTAGGAGAGAGAAGGAATGAAGAGAGAATGGGGGTTATGGATCTTAATGGGGTGATGCCTATTGAAGATGAGGATTTGAAATTTGCTATAAGTATGTTGGAGGTGGTGCCCGCTTATGCTGGTTATGTGAGATCTAGACTTTTCATGATCTCTGAGGCATAATTCAGGAGTTTAGGAAGCCACAGAAAGAGGATTTTGGGGTCCACAATTCAGTGGTTTGGAAGATTAGAGACCATTTTTTGGGCAACATTTCAGTGGTTTTGGATGCAGCATTTTTTTAGCACAGTTTAGTGGTTTTCTACGGGGAAAATTATTGTATAGAGTGATGAATTCATCAATTGTTTTAGGAAAAATCTCCATTGCTTTTGATAGTTATTTATGCCGACAAATTGTTGAATTTAATTAAGTTTATGGAGCTTTTGAAAGTTATTTAAGCTGACAAATTGTTAAATGTAATTAAGTTTATGGAATTGGATCCACTTTGCCTCTGTTTTTTGTTTCTGGTATATTTAGTTTGTGAACTGTTTTAGCTTTTACATATGAATTATCAGTCATTTTGTAATGGGGAGCAGAGGTATAATCTCTCTTTGTGCAAGTCATTTGTTGTAAGTTCATGTACTCTTTTAAAATTTGCATATCGCAGTAATGTTCAGTAGAGTTTAGAGGTCCAAACTCATACAATTCTCATAATGCATACCACACTTTTGATCGAACAAGAGCAGCATCAACGGTATTACACTGTGAGACCTCTAAGTTACAAACTTACAATCTGAATATTCACATTTCGAACCTGAAAATGGCAGGCAAAATCAAATGTGTTAGTTTCAGAGAGTTATAGGCAAATGATTTATTGCAGTATCTAATGTTGACACAGATTCAATCCATATTTCACATTAGGAGATAGAAAGTGAACCAAAAAAAATGATGCAAAAGGAGCTTGTTAGAATGTTTGATTTCAGAGGTTCTCCATGAAGAGACACAAGGAACCAAGTGAATTAGTGAACCACCGAGTTCAGTCAATAGAACTCAAATATACAGGCTGTAACACAAAATTGAGCAATGCATTACCAAAGCTGTCTGTACAGTCTGGCTAAACTATGACATTCACAAT